CCCGAATTTTGAATGGCGGGGCTCAGGCTTGTTGTTTCCCTTGCTGCTTCTCAGTTACGACCGTGTTTCTCAACCTTCTTAATTCCGCGACCCCTTCATACAGTTCCTCATGTGGTGGTGGCCCCCAACCATACCATGATTTCCGTTGCTACTTCGTAACTGTAATTTGGCGACTTATGAATCGTCATGTCGTTATCCGATAGGCAGGATGTATTTCCATTCACTGGACCAAATTGGGCACAACTACCCAATAGGCCCCAATTTGAATACTGGTGGGATTGGGAAGGGATTGGTTTTGTCATTTGGGAGTTGTAGTTGCTGGGATTTAGAGTTCACCTACAATCAAAGAGCATGCTGAACCCCACCAATGATGGAATGGAACCCAACTGGGCACACCGAACTCCCACGGCCAACAGAAAATACTGGAAGGGTTTCCCCCGCCCTGCTTTTTCCATCAGCCCACTTTAGTCGGGATTCAAGGTTTACTTTTAAGATGTTGTATTATATTTTTACTGAATTGTTTAACTGGTTGTGTTGTGGTTGTTTAATTGATATGTGCCCTGGGAGTCTGGGAGTTGTAGTTCACCCTGACCCAGAGAGCGCTTGAACCCAGCCAGTGACAGACCTGGACCACCCTTGGCACTCAGAGAACCAGACTGGCCAACTGTGAATACTGGCTGGGCTTGGGGGTGACAGCCCTGGGCGCCTGGGAGTTGTAGTCCACCCTGACCCAGAGAGCCTTTGAACCCAGCCAGTGAGAGACCTGGACCACCCTTGGCACACAGAGCCAGCATGGCCAACTGTGAATACTGGCTGGGTTTGGGGGTGACAGCTCTGGGCGCCTGGGAGTTGTAGTCCACCCTGACCCAGAGAGCGCTTGAACCCAGCCAGTGAGAGACCTGGACCACCCTTGGCACTCAGAGAACCAGCCTGGCCAACTGTGAATACTGGCTGGGCTTGGGAGTGACAGCCCTGGGAGTCTGGGAGTTGTAGTTCACCCTGACCCAGAGAGCCCCTGAACCCAGCCAGTGACAGACCTGGACCACCCTTGGCACTCAGAGAACCAGACTGGCCAACTGTGAATACTGGCTGGGCTTGGGAGTGACAGCCCTGGGAATGTGGGAGTTGTAGTCCACCCTGACCCAGAGAGCCCCTGAACCCAGCCAGGGAGAGGCCTGGACCACCCTTGGCACACAGTGGGACCCCCTCTTAGTCCACCAAGAGGCACACCAGGCCTCCCTCAGGCTCCCCAGCCAGGAGAGAATCCCAGAGAGAGAGAGAGAGAGACACACACACAGACAGACAGACCTTCTCAGGAGAGGAACCAAAGGCGAAGAGAGAGAGAGGCTTCTTCCCTGGGCGAGAAAGGAGGCTTCCTCCGGGAAAATGGCGGCCGGACCGGAAGGGGCGGGGCCTACAGTGACGTCGCCCCTCCCCTCCCTCCGCGCTCCTGATTGGCCGCCCTCTGGCGGGGCTCATTTGCATCTCGGAAGGGGGCGCCCCCTGTCGGCCTCTCCCCCGCTCCCTCCCTCCCTTGCCTTGAGATTCTGATCTGCAGCCCTTTGCTGCCACCCAGTGGCCAGGCGGGGAAGCGCGCCCTTGAGCCCTAGAGGCGCCCCTGTGCCGCCCCCATGGAGACCAGGATTGCCCCACCTGGCATCCCCCGGGAAGGAGCAGCCAAGAGTGAAAGGACCAAGGCAGAGACATCTCCAGCTCATCCCCTGTTTGGGTATCAGCCAGCACGTCAAGGACTTAAATCCAGACATAGTTTTCTTAGATCTACAGAAACACTCCCTGGAACACCCCAGCAAGCGAGAGTCCAAAAGTGGCAGGCTCAAACCCAGCACCTCAATCCATGGGTGATACTAGATGACAGACTCCCCCCTGGGAACACAGAAGACTGGGCGACTTGGAAGGTGCTGAACAGATTGCGCTCTGGCACCACGAGATGCAGGACCAATCTTAAGAAATGGGGCCACAAAGTGGAATCCTCGGCATGTGAGTGTGGAGAAGAGCAAACCACTGACCACCTGCTGCAATGCAACCTGAGCCCTGCCACATGCACCAGGGAGGACCTTCTTATAGTGACACCAGAGGCACTCCAAGTGGCCAGAGACTGGTCAAAAGACATTTAACCAACTACCAAGTTTGCAAAATCTGTGTGTGTGTTTTGTTTTTAATCTGTGTGGTTGTTTTGTTGTTAGAATTGTAATACAATGGTATGGTTGCTGATGACACGATAGATAAATGAATGAATGAATGAATGAATAAATATGGAGACCAGTGTTTCTCAGCCTTCCTCATGCCACAACCCCTTCTTGATCCCCTTCCTCCTGTTGAGATGACCCCCAACCATCACATTACTTTCCTTGCTCCTTCATAACTGTCATTTTGCTACTGTTATGAATCGTCATGTAAATATCTGACATGCAGGATGTATTTCCATTCACTGGACCAAATTTGGCAGAAATACCCGATACGCCCACATTCTAATACTGGTGGGGTTGGGGGCATTGATTTTGTCATCTGGGAGTTGTAGTTGCTGGGATTTATAGTACACCTATAGTCAAAGAGCATTCTGAACCCCACCAATGATGGAATTGAACCAACCTTGGCACACAGAACTCCCACAACTAACAGAAAATACTGGAAGGGTCTGATGGGCATTTACCTTGCGTTTTGGAGTTGTAGTTCACTTACATCCAGACAACACTGCGGACTTTTACTTGTGTCCTGCAAAGACTTATCATAACAGGACCCAGGTGTCATGTCCCGCCGTTGACGGTGTTTGGTAGAGTGCCACGCCTCGCAGTTGGTGGTGGTGAGTCTATAGAATGCCTGGCAGTTTGGGGATGGGTAATATAGGATCGTGATTAGCAGGGAGGAGATGCTGCCAAAAGATGCTGGTTCTAAAGGTCAGAGTGATCCGTCTATAACATGTTAGGACATGGAAAAAAATCAATTGGTGACTGTGTTAACTGGAAATGCAAAGCACGGATCTGATTGGTTGGAGAACACCCCAGGAGCTAGCTGAGCCTGGGAGTCTTGGCAACAGTTACATACTTGGGCTTTACCTGTGCAGGAGCTTACACAGAGAGAGATTTCTCGGTTGATGAGCTGCAGGAAGAGGATCCTCCACGTGGACACCTAAATACCATGAATCTCTCTCAAAATATATTGTGTGAGTCAACGCAACTGTTCTCAAGGTTGTATAGATTGTCAATAAAATTCAGCCTCAGTGCAACTGCAAAGAAGCACGCAATGACAACAAAGTGTGCAGTCCTTTGTCAAACTTCAACTTTTAATAACCGACCAGTTATGAAGAAGGGCCTTTGGAATGTGTGCATGTGTATATTGTACTCTGTATTGTATTTATTTAATGGCATTGTATGCTTTGAATTTCCGTAATGCTATGTGCCCATAACCCTTGTCAATAAAATTTGGCCTCAGTGAAACTGCAAAGAAGCACGCAATTATTTATTTAAAACTTTTATATTCTGATCTTCTCAACCTCCATAGAGGGACTCAGACCGGTTTGAAGACAAAGTGCGCAGTCCTTTGTCAACTTCAAATCCTTGAATTGTAATTTTATTTAGTTACATTCTAAAAGCTACAGAAAAATAATAAATATAACTTTGTACAGGAGAAATCACACAAGCGTCTTCCTCCTTCCCCGGCATGGCTGGAAGAGAACGCCCAGCAGTCTGTTATCAAAAAATCCACATCATTGGAATGTGTGGCGTATACAGGAAAAGCTCACAGTGCACTCTCTAGGCAGTGAATCACTCTATGCCTTTAACTCTTGCATAGCATTACGTAGCATTACGTCTTACACCGGACACCCAGAGTTTAAAAACTATAAACTCGAGAACGGGAAACATGATGTTGGGGGACAGGAAAAGAGATTTAAAGCCAACCTTAAAAACTGTGGCATTGACACCGAGAACTGGGAAGGTCCTGGCCCTTGAGCGCTCTAACTGGAGGTCAGCTGTGACCAGAAGTGTTGCAGAATTGAAAGAGGCATGAGTGGAGATACGTGCCAAGAGGAAGGAGCAGCGTCAAGCGGGAGAACATGTGGTTCAAGAATAGGGCTCTACAGCAACGGTTGCACACCAAGGCTTGGGTTGGCACCTTTGAACCCTTATTTATTTATTTATTTACTTACTTATTTATTTATTTGCTTACTTACCTCATTTGTATACCGCGTTTCTCAGCCAGAGGCGACTCACACCAATGTTCTTTATAGCAAAGCAGTTTATTGAGGATTAATATAGCAACAGCCAGAAAGGTAAAAAGCATTCAAACAAGTAATAAAGAAACGACCACAAAACAGTCAGTTGAGCAAAGCAAAATAAGACAGTCAATTATTAGTCAGGAACCAGGAGGGTTGCAAAAATCCAACCAACAAGTCCACAGGAGTTAGAGTCTTTCAGTTCCAAAAGGTTGCAAAGACCAAAGTCCCTTGAAGAAACAGCAGCAAACTTGAACCATAAAATCCCAATGCAGGAGCTTGAAACCAGGACCAACCACATACAAGAATCTCAGCATGAACGTGAATCCCGGGCAGAAGTACACAGGAATCTAAGCATGAACAAGAAGGCATGGATACCAGGCATGAAACAAAAGGCGTGGTTACACATGAAAACCAAACGTTGAACTCATTGAAGAGTATAGATTCACAGGCCCTATATTTATTCCGAAAGTCATAGCAAAAGCATTCTGTTTCCCTTGGGAAACTTCTCCCTGACCCCTTTTTTCTCTTCATCTTTCAGACCATCTTCTCCCCACTTCCAGATGGAAATGTTGATTGATTTGACTTTTCCTATCAAAGAGTGTCTGGTCTTTCCTTGGCTTGCCAATTAGTACATTCCTTTCACTATCACTATGCTTTCCTTAGCACACATCACAAAACCAACACACTTGCCCCTCCACACCCAAACCACCCCCACACAGCCCCCAATGCAACATCAATGCAAAACCACTGAGTTCTGTATACTTACAGCTCTGGAATAGAAGCTATCTATCAGTCTGCTATCGTTCCTCTTGGCACGTATCTCCCTTTTGCCCTCCACTCGTGCCACTTTCAATTCTGCAGCACTGCTGGTCACAGCTGACCTCCAGTTAGAATGCTTAAGGGGCATGACTTTTCTCTTTTGAAATGTCTTTCTATATATTATTATATTATATATATTGAAAGACTTATATGGTATTGTTTTAATCTCTGGTTTACTATTTAAACTGAATTCCTTTGTCTCAAAAAGATGCATTTCTAAAAAGTGTTTCACCAACATGAAAAATCGAGAAAGCTCTATCTGAGAAATTCTCTTTGGAGTCAAACACCGCTGTTCTCTCCAATGTGAATTCCGTGTCTATGTAGATTTCCATTCTCAGATAATCTTTTCCCACACAACATGCATTTATAAGGTTTCTCCGCAGTGTAAGTCCTTTGATCTGAATGTAAACTTGAAGAATGGGTGAAGCTCTGTAATCACTCATGGCATTTATAGGATTTCCCCKCAGTGTGAGTCCTTTCATGTTTATGTAGACTTCCACTCTGAGTGAAGCTCTTTCCACACTCCAGGCAGGTATAGGGTTTCTCCCCAGTGTGAATCCGTTGATGTGAACGTAGATGTCCACTCGTAGTGAAGCTCTGCCCACACTCCAGGCATTTATAGGGTTTCTCCCCAGTGTGAATCCTTTGATGTGAACGTAGACTTCCACTCTCAGTGAAGCTCTGCCCACACTCCAGGCATGTATAGGATTTTTCCCCAGTGTGAATCCTTTGATGTGAACGTAGACTTCCACCCCTACTGAAGCTCTGTCCACACTCCGGGCATGTATAGGGTTTCTCCCCAGTGTGAATCCTTTGATGTAAACGTAGACTTCCACTCTGAGTGAAGCTCTGCCCACACTCCAGGCACGTATAGGGTTTCTCCCCAGTGTGAATCCTTTGGTGTTTATGTAGATGTTCACTCTGAGGGAAGCTCTTTCCACACTCCAGGCATGTATAGGGTTTCTCCCCCGTGTGAGTCCTTTGATGTGAACGTAGATTTCCACTCATAGTGAAGCTCTTTCCACACTCCAGACATGTATAGGGTTTCTCCCCAGTGTGAGTCCTTTGATGTGAATGTAGACTTGAACTTTCAGTGAAACTCTTTCCACACTCCAGGCATGTATAGGGTTTCTCCCCCGTGTGAGTCCTTTGATGTCGCTTCAGAATACTCCTCTGAGTGAAACTCTTCCCACATTCCAGGCATATCAATGCTTTCTCCWWCYTGTCAGCCATGATATGGGTGTTTAATTGCAATACAGATGCTTCAGTCTTCTTTTTTCCTTCCATATCTGTCTGTGACGTCAAGATTTCAGCAAGACCCTCACCTAGAGAGAAGTTCTTCTTCCTATATTATTGATTTCATTGCTGCATCCAAGGGGTGGCTCCATAGAATCCTCATTTCCCTGGTTAAGGAAGAAGCAAAAGATCAAGGATGAAGGGGAGAAACTTTCTTTACCTCCACGATTTCCCCCTTTCCCTTTATGGGTCATGTTGAAAATGGAAACACCCAGAAACGCAAACATCAGGGTCTTCGGAGGTTCTGTTGGACAATGAAGCAAGTGGAGTGTCTCTATCCCTGTGGAATAATGTCCAGGGTGGGAGAAAGAACCCTTGTCTGCTTGAAGCAGGTGTGAATGGCCCAGCATTTCTGCGTTTTCAAATAGGATTCTGTGTCCAGCACTCAGAAACAGGAGAACTCCAGACAGCAAGCAATCAGGTGCCAGTTAACACCTCCCAAACAGAGGGTGCCTCCAGGCAACAGAGGCCACTGATTGACTCTGCAGACTTCATGGCTACTCCAATGCTAATGCAAGCTTGCTCATTGCAACATTCACCCTTCCTTCAAACAGACAAGGGTTCTTTCTCCCGCCCTGGATATTATTCCACAGGAATATATACTGCCTGCCAAGAGAACCTCTGAAGATGCCATTAACCACAGATGCAGGGGGAACGTCAAGAGAGAATGCTGCTGGAACATGACTAGACAGGTCCAAAAATGTACAGCAACCCAGTGATTCTGGCCATGAAAGCCTTCAACAAAACTTTATTAAAAACATGCCTAATTAAGAGATATTTATCCCCTAACGGTCAGTCTGCTACAGAGTACAACAACAACGTTTATTTATTTATTTATTTCAGTTACTTCTACCCCGCCCTTCTCACCCCGAAGGGGACTCAGGGCGGCTTACAAAAGCAAGGCACAATTCGAACTTAAAAACAATCAGCGCTGACCAAATCCCCACCTCTCCGCTGCAAAAGGCCACCTTACTGGGATCTGCACACATTCACTGATACATCACACAGCCCTAGACACTGTTGCACACCAAGGCTGGGGTTGGCACCTTTGAACCCGTATTTATTTCTTTACCGCATCTGTATACTGCCTTTCTCAATTACAGGCGACTCACGCCAATGTTTTTTATAGCAAAGCAGTTTATTGAGGATTAATATAGCAACAGCCAGAAAAGGTTAAAAAAAAACATTCAAACAAGTAATATAGAAATGTCCACAAAACAGTCAGTTGAGCAAAGCAAAATACGACAGTCAATTATCAGTCAGGAACCAGGAGGGTCGCAATATTCCAATCAACAAGTCCACAGGAGTTAAGAGTATTTCAGTTCCAAAAGGTTGCAAAGACCAAAGTCCCTTGAAGAAACAGCAGCAAACTTGAACTATTAAATCCCAATGCAGGAGCTTGAAACCAGGGCCAACCACATACAAGAATCTCAGCATGAACATGAATCTTGGGCAGAAGTACACAGGAACATTAGCATGAACATGAAGGCATGGATACCAAGCATGAAACAAAAGGCGTGGTTACACATGAAAACCAAACGTTGAACTCATTGAAGAGTATAGATTCACAGGCCTTATATTTATTCAGAAAACCATAGCAAAAGCATTCTGTTTCCCTTGGGAAACCTCTCCCTGACCCCTTTTTTCTCTTAATCTTTCAGACCGCCTTATCCTCCCTTCCAGGTGGAGATGTTGATTGATTTGCTTTTTCCTATCAAAGAGTGTCTGGCCCTCCCTCGGCTTGCCAATTAGTACATTCCTTTCACTATCACTATGCTTTCCTCAGCACACATCACAAAACCAACACACTTGTCCCTCCACACCCCAACCACCACCACCCAGCCCCAAATGCAACATCAATGCGAAACCACAGAGTTCTGTATGCTTACAGCTCTAGGAGAAAAGCTATATCTCATGTCAAATGGCCTCTCTCTATATTATTATATTTATATAAGTAAAAATGTAATGTTTGTTTGTGGGATTAACAGAACTCAAAAACTACTGGACAAACTGACACCAAATTTGGACACAAGACACCAACTAAAGCAATGTATGTCCTTCATTCAAAAAAATAAAAAAATTAACAGGAAAGAACTTTACACCCCAAAAACTTAAATTACTATACAGAGGATACGTTAAAAGAACACCCTCCCCCGCCCCTTCCTCCTGCACGAGGGGGGAAAAACCAACAGCTGAGAGAGAGGCAACATGAGAGAGGGAGGGAAAGGTGGCCCATATATCCCTCTTGCTACCCCCTGCCTCTCTCTTCCCAAAGGATTCGGAGAGGGAGAGAGAGAGAGGACACCCTCCTCCAGGTCCACCCACTCCCTTTCCTTCCTTTCCTTTCCCTTCCCCTGTCACTTCCGTTGTATATTGATAGCTTGGAAACCAGCTCTTCCTCTTTTCTTTCTTTCCCATTTCTCCAAAATGGGCCACAGCAACATGTGCCTGGGTACAGCTAGTATTACATAATATAGTATTATATTGAATATCTCATATGAGGTTGTTTAACATCTGGTTTGCTAGTTCAACTAAATTACTGTGTCACAAAAGGATGCATGTCTAAAAAGTGTTTCACCAACATGAAAACTCTGGAAAGCTCTATCTGGGAAACTCTCTTTGGGGTCAAACACCACTGTTCTCTCCAGTGTGGATTCTGCGTCTATGTAGACTTCCACTCTTAGTAAAGGTCTGCCCACACTCCAGGCGTGCATAGAGTTTCTCCCCAGTGTGAATCCTTCGATGAGAACGTAGACTGCCACTGTGAGTGAAGCTCTTTCCACACTCCAGGCATGTATAGGGTTTCTCCCCAGTGTGAATCCTTTGATGTGAACGTAGATCTGAACTCCAAACAAAGCTCTTTCCACACTCCAGGCATGTATAGGGTTTGTCCCCAGTGTGAATCCTTCGATGTGAACGTAGATCTGAACTCTGAGCAAAGCTCTTTCCACACTCCAGGCATGTATAGGGTTTGTCCCCAGTGTGAATCCTTTTGTGTCTATGTAGACTTCCACTTTTAGTGAAGGTCTGTCCACACTCCAGGCATGTATAGGGTTTCTCCCCAGTGTGAGTCCTTTGGTGTGAGAGTAGACCTGAATGATTAGTGAAGCTCTTTCCACAGTCTAGGCATGTATAGGGTTTCTCCCCAGTGTGAGTCCTTTGATGGGAACGTAGACTTCCACTTTGAGTGAAGCTCTGCCCACACTCCAGGCATGTATAGGGTTTCTCCCCAGTGTGAGTCCTTTGATGTCTACGTAGATCTGAACTCCGAGCAAAGTTCTTTCCACACTCCAGGCATTTATAGGTTTTCTCCCCAGTGTGAATCCTTTGATGTGAACATATTCTTCCACTGCCGGTGAAACTCTTTCCACACTCCAGGCATGTACAGGGTTTCTCCCCAGTGTGAGTCCTTTGATGGGAACGTAGACTTCCACTCTGAGTGAAGCTCTGCCCACACTCCAGGCATTTATAGGGTTTCTCCCCAATGTGAATCCTTTGATGGGAACGTAGACTTCCACTCTGAGTGAAGCTCTGCCCACACTCCAGGCATTTATAGGGTTTCTCCCCAGTGTGAATTATTTGGTGTTTATGTAGATTTCCACTCTGAGTGAAGCTCTTCCCACACTCCAGGCAAGTATAGGGTTTCTCCCCAGTGTGAATCCTTTGATGTGAACGTAGATTTCTACTTATAGTGAAGCTCTTTCCACACTCCAGGCATGTATAGGGTTTCTCCCCAGTGTGAATCCTTTGGTGGTTATATAGATTTCCACTTGTAGTGAAGCTCTGCCCACACTCCAGGCATGTATAAGGTTTGTTCCCACTGTGAGTGCTTTGATGTCTATGTAGAACTGAACTCTCAGAGAAGCTCTTTCCACACTCCAGGCATCTATAGGGTTTCTCCCCAGTGTGAATCCTTACATGTGATCGTAGACTACCGCCTTGAGTGAAACTCTTCCCACATTCCAGGCATATAAATGCTTTTTCCTTCATGTCAGCCATGATATGGGTGTTTGATTGCAATACAGATGTTTCAGTCTTTTCCCCCGCTTCCTTATCTGTATGTGAGGTCAAGATTTCAGCAAGACCCTCACCTAGAGAGAAGTTCTTCTTCCTATATTATTGATTTCATTGCTGCATCCAAGGGTGGCTCCATAGAATCCTCATTTCCCTGGTTAAGAAAGAAGCAAAAGATCAAGGATGAAGGCGAGAAACTTTCTTTACCTCCACGATTTCCCCCTTTCCCTTCATGGGTCATGTTGAAAATGGAAACACCCAGAAATGCAAACATCAGGATCTTCAGAGGTTCTGTTGGACAATGAAGCAAGTGGAGTGTCTCTATCCCTGTGGAATAATGTCCAGGGTGGGAGAAAGAACCCTTGTCTGCTTGAAGCAGGTGTGAATGGCCCAGCATTCCTGCATTTTCAAATAAGATTCTGTGTCCAGCACTCAAAAACAGGAGAACTCCAGACAGCAAGCAATCAGGTGCCAGTTAACACCTCCCAAACAGAGGGTGCCTCCAGGAAACAGAGGCCAGGCCGCCTCTCTGCAGATATCCTCACTGATTGACTCTGCAGACTTCATGGCTACTCCAATGCTATTTCAAGCTTGCTCATTGCAACATTCACCTTTGCTTCAAACAGACAAGGTTTCTTTCTCCTGCCCTGGATATTATTCCACAGGAATATATACACTACTTCACTTGCTTCATTGCCAACAGAAGCTCTGAAGGTGCCATTAGCCACAGGTGCAGGCAAAACTTCAGGAGAGAATGCTACTGGAACATGGTCAGACAGGCCAAAAAATGTACACCAACAGTGATTCCGGCCATGAAAGCCTTCAACAAAACATTATTAAAAACATGCCTCATGAAGAGATATTTCTCCCCCAGCTGCCAGTTAAAGGTCTGCTAAAGGGTGAAAAATTGTAACTTTTCCCCTGGTCAGGGAAGCCTTTCAGAAGCAGGAAACATTTGGGACATTTTGGAGACCACTTGAAGGTTTCATTATGCCTTCCTTCTTTCCCTTCTTTATTGTTCTTTCTTGCCTTCCTCCTTTGGGAGGGGGAAATATGATATAGAGGCGGTTTGCCCACTCTGTCCACAGGATGGCAGCACAGAGGCGCCTCCACGGCTCAAGGGCGCACTTTCCTTATTGGCCACTGGATGGCAGCAAAGGACTGCAGATCAGAATCTCAAGGCAAGTGCAATATTCCCTTGCCCACAAGAGGGTGTCAAAAAACGTAATATGCAGATTTGATCAGTGTCGATTTAATATGATGTGTGGGAATGAATAGAAGGATGAACGGATGGAGTTACACCAGTAAAATATTAAGGCCTGCAATGCCTAACTACCTGGATTGTAATTAAAAGTCGCTAATAAGAACTGAAAAGTAATCCGTGATAAGAACTGGACAGTGATAAGATAAATGTTTACGATGTTAAGAAGGAAATCAACACAAGGCTACCAACAATCAAGAAGAGTCAACATCTGGCCAGGAAACTGAGATGGAGCCCGGGTGGAAGAGGACTATCATTCATTTACAACTTTGGGACTACATCAGCAGAATACTCCTATAAAAGACTCAATCTAATAATGCTCAAATTGTGACACACCTGAGGAGTCTGGTTCACCCTCCATGCTCTGCTCTATGGGAAGGAGAGAGATGGTGTATTCGGAGAGTGGCAGATTTCCAAGGGAGCAGTCTGGTCACTTAAATAGGAAATAGCACTTTTGAACAGGAAGAGGACATTTTTCAAACTGTGTGACATAGTGCTACCACAGGGACAGAAGGGGAGGTGTCATCTCCTGAACACAGGAGATCTCCTGTGTACACCGGGAATAATAATAATAACAATAATAATAATAATAATAAAATTATTATTATTATTATTATTATTATTATTGTTATTATTATTATTCCCGGTGTACACAGGAGATCTCCTGTGTTCAGGAGATGACACCTCCCCTTCTGTCCCTGTGGTAGCACTATGTCACACAGTTTGAAAAATGTCCTCTTCCTGTTCAAAAGTGCTATTTCCTATTTAAGTGACCAGACTGCTCCCTTGGAAATCTGCCACTCTCCGAATACACCATCTCTCTCCTTCCCATAGAGCAGAGCATGGAGGGTGAACCAGACTCCTCAGGTGTGTCACAATTTGAGCATTATTAGATTGAGTCTTTTATAGGAGTATTCTGCTGATGTAGTCCCAAAGTTGTAAATGAATGATAGTCCTCTTCCACCCGGGCTCCATCTCAGTTTCCTGGCCAGATGTTGACTCTTCTTGATTGTTGGTAGCCTTGTGTTGATTTCCTTCTTAACATCGTAAACATTTATCTTATCACTGTCCAGTTCTTATCACGGATTACTTTTCAGTTCTTATTAGCGACTTTTAATTACAATCCAGGTAGTTAGGCATTGCAGGCCTTAATATTTTACTGGTGTAACTCCATCCGTTCATCCTTCTATTCATTCCCACACATCATATTAAATCGACACTGATCAAATCTGCATATTACGTTTTTTGACACCCTCTTGTGGGCAAGGGAATATTGCACTTGCCTTGAGATTCTGATCTGCAGTCCTTTGCTGCCATCCAGTGGCCAATAAGGAAAGTGCGCCCTTGAGCCGTGGAGGCGCCTCTGTGCTGCCATCCTGTGGACAGAGTGGGCAAACCGCCTCTATATCATATTTCCCCCTCCCAAAGGAGGAAGGCAAGAAAGAACAATAAAGAAGGGAAAGAAGGAAGGCATAATGAAACCTTCAAGTGGTCTCCAAAATGTCCCAAATGTTTCCTGCTTCTGAAAGGCTTCCCTGACCAGGGGAAAAGTTACAATTTTTCACCCTTTAGCAGACCTTTAACTGGCAGCTGGGGGAGAAATATCTCTTCATGAGGCATGTTTTTAATAATGTTTTGTTGAAGGCTTTCATGGCCGGAATCACTGTTGGTGTACATTTTTTGGCCTGTCTGACCATGTTCCAGTAGCATTCTCTCCTGAAGTTTTGCCTGCACCTGTGGCTAATGGCACCTTCAGAGCTTCTGTTGGCAATGAAGCAAGTGAAGTAGTGTATATATTCCTGTGGAATAATATCCAGGGCAGGAGAAAGAAACCTTGTCTGTTTGAAGCAAAGGTGAATGTTGCAATGAGCAAGCTTGAAATAGCATTGGAGTAGCCATGAAGTCTGCAGA